TTTTAAGTTATAATTAGCAAGCCATGAATGTTCAATCTTTTTCAATCATTTTAATCATGTTACAATTATCTTAAGTTTTCTATGAAAAAGAGAATCTAAACTGTGTAGCATTAAAATATCAAATGTTGACATTACCCATCATTTTATTTAAAATTAAAAAAAAAATGTCAACCATAAATATAGTAAATCTAAGAAGAAAAGAGAAAGAAAAGATAAAGAAAAAAAAAAGAAAAAGAAAAAAAAAAGCCAAAAGTGAATAAGTCCTTGAGGAGAAGTTGAGGCTGGCACAATAATGATTAAAAAAAGAATCAGAAGGGTGTCTAGTGGGACTTAAATAATAAATTTTTTTTCTTGAATGTTTACTAAAACCCATTTTTAATTATCTTCAAAGGAAAGAGTTAAGTAATATTGAGTTGGTTAAAATCCAGAAAAATTGTATCAGAATCATTCGAGGTTAGAGAAAAAGGGCTTAAATTACATCAATTTAATGATATATAGGATTTTTCTAAGGATAAGAATTAAGGGAATTAAGGAAAGGTCAAGTTATTAACCATTAAAGATAATTGATCCTATAATGACATTTAAATACTATATTTAGCTTTGATAAACATGTTGGATAGTTAAAAATCTATAGGAGTGTCAATTATCTTCATGGAATCTCAACTGAGTCATATGATTACTTGAGGATGAGTAATATGGTAAGTTTGGGGTATTAACATGCACCAATTTTAAGTGATTTCTCATATTTTTAATCATGTATTTTACATTATTTATAATGATTTATGCTTGTGTAAGGTTCTTTATATTATTTTGCAGGTTACACGTGTCAAACACAAAACAAAGTGAGAACACATGATTTAGTGTGGTCTGATGAAGACACGCCAGATCTGAGCGCGACCACACCAAAAGTAGTGTGACCACACCAATTTTGGGCGTGACCAAGCCGGTTTCAGACTTGACCACATCATCAGACATCTAGAGCTCATATTTTGCGCAATTTCATGCATATTTTGGATCTATTGACGTATTTGGAGGGTTTAGATGCCTATTTTTTAGCCCTATTCTAAAAACTAAAAATAAATATATATTTGTGTCATGAGAGATCTCTCTTGGCCTCTTGGAAGCTTGGAGAAGGAGTCCTACACAGGGAGTCATTGGAGGCTTCTAAAGGCAAGATTCAAAGAGAATTTGAGAGCATTCCTCAAGGTCTTCTTCCTCCTTTGTGAAAACCTTATAGGGTGAGAGTTTCATTTATTTTATGAGTTGTGAGAGACTTGTATGAGAGGAGGGATTGCTATAAGTGTGGAGAAGACGTATTATTGTATGTTTTACTTGTTTATGTTTCTTGCAATGAATTCCTGCATAGTTTTTCTTGTGATGATTTTATCGAAGATGCATGACTAATTTTATTTTTCGTGTCTTTGTGATGTAAGGGTAGTAGATTTAATTGTGGTTTTTCCATAATATTTTTTGTTAGCATTTGCTTGTACTTGCATAGCCTACATTGTTGGTTAACCTTTAAACTTAATTTACTCCTAGTCTAGCAAATGAGGATGTTTAAATATTTCATGAAACTACACATCTAACCGTTGTGTAGTGGAAACAAATTGTTAACCATAAAATTGTGAGAGGATAGAATTATTCTAATTGAATTCTGCAATCATCCCAGGGGATCGAAACAGTTAAGCAGAATGTCACAGGGACATATCAGCCTCAACTTCATGAATCCTTAGCTTCTTTTGACCTAGACATAATAACCAATTGACAATAATCTGTAGGAAAACATTTAGAAAAATCACGTTCACCATGATCATAGAGGCACGAGTTTCATCAATCTTAAAGGAACTCATAAATACTTTCCCGCTGCTTTTATTTTCTATTGCCTACAATTTTCTCTATTTTTGCTATAATCTTAGGATTTAATCCCTCTTTGCAAACACACCAAGCTAGGCTCACTAAATTAGTAACCATAGTTTTTTCTACATAATTATTTGTTAAATTTTCCTTATGGGATCGATGTTCGGATTCTTAACCAGTATACTATTTTACACGTGCACTGCGTTGTACAACTGACTAACTTTGCGGTAAATTTTGGCACATCACCGGTGCAGTTAACCGATTAGTTGTAAAATTCATCTTTTCGAATGCTGCTCGGAATAAAATGTTCCCGAGCTGTCAATATTGACAAGGATACTGCCTACATTTTAATTTCTTATCAATGTTATAACAATAATGACATCATTGTAGGGATTTACAGCTAGAGAAAGATCCACGTCGGTGAAAATGATTGGGGGATGTGGCTTCCTCTTTGGAGTGAGCATCACAACACAGTAATTTCTCGATCGACTTTTTTTTTCCGACCCTGACATATGAATTGCCTCCCAGTATTTTTGGTATTATTCCTGTTATATTAATGGCATTGGCACGGGTTGACCCGCCTGACTCGCCTTTCACTGGAGCCTTGCTTTTCAGTCAAGTGTGAGCCTTTAAGGCTACAAAATCCTTGAGTTTTTCGACTTGGATCAGCCCCTCTACCAGGCTACGAAGGTGCCTGCACGCCTCGATGTCATGGACATGGTCTCAGTGATACTTACAATATTTGTTCACAGGGAAGCTTCGACTTTAATTGGAGTCGCCTTTCAAAAATACTCCTTGCCTTTTATTATGTCTATGATTTCTCCATATAAACTAAAGTGGTGTAAATCTAGATGTCCTCCAACCTCCTGCAAACCAGTCATTTAATTGGTTGGGTTTGCATCTCTCTTGTTCGTCTTTTTTATCTCTTTGAGAGGAGTGACCTCTCTCACAATTCAAACAAGGACATCCTTTCTCTCTCCATACATCATCCTTCAAGCTATTCCCGCCCGGCTGTCGATTCAATTTTGAACCTTTGGAAATAAGCTGGTTCCTATACTCTTCAACTGCAATATGTTCTTTGGCTAACTCCAGGAGTTTAGCCAACATTTCAGGTTTCCTTAAACCCAAAAATTATTAGAATTGTGGACTCTTTAGTTCTTGTGTAGTGCTGCCTTGGAAACCACTAGCTCCATGTTTCAGAACTCTAGCATCTCCTTCTTAAAACTTGTAACCAATGCCCGCAAAGCTCTCGTTCTGTCCCTATTTTATATACCACAAAGAATCTGAATCCTTTCATGGTATTTGGGCACCAACAAACTACACTAAAGACAACTTCTTGAAGACTTTGAAGGAGTTAATACTTCAATCAGGAAGTCCATTGAACCACCTGAGAGCGGAATCTCTTAGCTTGGTATAGAACAACTGACATTTTAATGCATCACAGATTTTGAGAAAGCAAATTGCCGACTTAAAAAGGGCAATATGATCAGCGGGGTCGCTTCGACCTTTATATTGTTCCAAGGTGGGAACCATAAACTTCTCTGGTGGCTTGGCTTTTACAATATGCCTGATGAACGCATTCTCAATCCGACAATAAACTTTTATCGATTCTAGTTATTATTCTCCTCTGTGCATTGATTTGACACTGTCTTGATACTAGAAATCTTTCATTCGCTTAGCTGTTGGGGCAGCCTATTGAACTTGAGGCTCTGGTGCTGGTGGATCGGATTGTGGGAGAGTCTGTGCCCTTCCCTCAAGTACCACTCAGGTTAGCAACAAAATATGTTTGACCATTCGATCATGGAGTCCCTGGATTTGTTGTTGTACAAATTTCCAAATATATTCCACAATGGAGATTTGCCCATGATGCGTTCCTTCACCCTGACATGCTCATCGTCTTGTAAAATGCATGATTCCATGCTCATCGCACCTTGTAAGATGTCATATCCTAAATTATCCCGTAGATTACACCCAATGAATAGAGCGTTAGTCTAGAAAAAAGAAGAAAGATAGAAGGTTTAACTATTCTTTATATTCTTAGTGAGAATTCTTTTTGGAGTCCCATTTCTTGAAATGATTGTTCTATTTATAGCTCATAAGTAGGATATGATAAATTATATAGTTATCTGCATTAAAAGAGGGACGTTACTATAATTAATGAGCTAGTACATTTACACATTTATAACTGAATATCATTTATTCTAACCTCGTAACCGCTATTAACACCATTCTATTTCTGTAATTGCCTTTAAAACTGCTTCACATTCGTAATTGCCCAATTTCTTTGCTTGGAATTTGTTCGATCATCTAGGATTTATTCGATGGACCAAACATCCTTTGGTTGACTTAAAGATCTTTGATTGCCCATTCTATGGAGACCAAATGTGAATACACATTGTTCTTAGGTAGGATTATTTCATTGGGTGGATGGTGGATTACCGTAATACGATAAGCAACTTATTTTAGGTTTATGTGCCTATACTAAAGACTCATTTTAGGCAACTGTTGATTTTCATGATGACAATTATCGGGAAGTCGATGCCGATGTGACTGTGCTGTATTTGTTGGGTTCATTTAATCGGCCAATGTGACCGATCGATCGTATGACAGATAATCCATGTCATTGATGTCTCAAATCATTTCTCTTCAAGATTCGTGTAGACTTATTTTTTGATGTACACACTTTTGTTTGATTTTTAATGATTTCCTCCAATACTCTACAAGCAAAGTGTATAAAAATCAATTCATGTAATATCCAATAAAAAGAAAATAACTTATATTTAAGATACTAAATATATTTTATTTGACAATGAAATATAATAAAAAAATTAAAATTAAAATGTTTATGAACAACTTTTAAATGAATAGATTTTAAAAATCATAAGAATTGGATTGAAAAAAAATATATCATCAAAACATTCTTATTAAATTTTACCATAGACATAAACTAAATAGAACTAATTATTTTTATTTTATAATTTCATTAAATAATTTTTTTTATAATTTTTTTATCACTAAACATTAAGTAAAGATATCCTCGCAGAGATGGGCATGACGTGTCAGGTCATTTTCTTAACAGTGATCAGAGAGCTCTGTCGACATAAATAAGTAGTTTTGGGATAAATCTCACCGAAACGCTCGGCATAGCAGATTTTGAGCCCTGGAGCTCGCGCTTGTCTCCGCAAAATTTTCAGGTAATTTCAGTGCTCGATTTCGAGCATATGGTGGCATTTTGCTGCCCTCCAATCGCCATTGTTGACGAGCTTTGTGGTAGGCGGTACAAGTGCAGTTCGCCGTCTCCGGTGGCGGCGATGGCAAGCAACGAGGCGCTCCTCCTTGAATCCCTCACTTCCCGATACTCGGAATGGATTATAGAGGCCCTCGACGATCTGCCGCACGATCTCAGCTTCCTCATCACTGATCCCTACATCGCAGGACACCCCATCGTCTTCGCGAGCCGTGGGTTTCTTTCTATGTCCGGATTTTCTCGCGAGGAGGTCGTCGGCAGGAATGGGAGGATATTTCAGGGTCCCGATACTGACCGGAGGTCGGTGATGGCGATTCGGGAGGCGATTCGGGAGGAGAGGGCGATGCAGATTAGTATATTGAACTATCGGAAGGATGGGACGTCATACTGGATCCTATTCAAGCTTTGTCCCGTTTTTGGAAGAGATGATGGCAAGTTAGTTCACTTCTTTGCTGTACAAGTACCGATCCCTCGGCTGCGTTCGAGTTCTAAGCGACAGAGCAGTGGACTATTAGCCGGGGTTTGTAGGAATGAGGTGCGCTCTGATCTAGACTTCCGGTGTAGTCTTCCCTTCGATTCCTATGACGATTCGGATAATAGAGGTATGCGGTGTTTTAGCGAACGGATCAGTGGGAATGCTGTACTTTCTAAACGCTTGTTTTCTTTAAGTGGGTTCGTTTAGTCGATTGCAGGGTTGCAGGGGGGAGAACGGCGGGAAGCAGGTGATCGTGAGAAGCAAAAAGCTGTAGATGGTGCTACCGAGGTACTATCGAAGCTGGCGCATTATAGTGAGGTCACCGGGAGAGTTGTGTGCGGCAAGAGATGCAGTCCTAAGGCTGGAATTTCTTCTCTGTCTTCATCCTTGTGCACTTCTCTCGGTAGAATCAAACAGAGCTTTGTATTGTGAGTTTTTAAATTCGTGCTGTTGTAGGGTCGGAATATACTATTTTCCTTCTTCCATTGTTTGAATTATTGAAGGATATATAGTTTGTTTTACAGGACTGATCCTCATTTGCCTGATATGCCAATCGTCTATGCTAGTGATACCTTCTTTAGTTTGACAGGTGACTTTCTGTTGCTTTTCACGTTTTATTTTCTGTTTAATGTCAAGAAAACAAAAGCTGTATTTTGTTTTTACAGGACTGATCCTCTATTTCATTTCCTTTTTGAGCTTTTGCTCTGTTCTATGAATAAAGCTACATACATCCCTGGGAAAATATATGTTGACTCTGAAAGTAAAATTCAGAGTGTTCCCTTTGCTTAAAATTATAATTACTGGTAATTTAGCATCATCAAGCGTGAGTTTGCAATTTGTAATTCTGTAATGTGCTTGAATCGATAAACCTATTGCACCTCTAAACCAGGTTCATTCGCTGATGCATACCTGCGTAGGTTCAGTCAACCTTGAAAATCAATTTACAATAACATTTTTAGATGGTCATGGTAAGATACTAATCTCAAATTGGTAGTGTTAAACAAATGTCTTTTTTTTTTCTATTCCATCGTATGTATAATAATTAGTGATTGAATTGGTTTTTCTTTGAAGAATTCATGGCTAGGGTTACTTGGTCCACCTATTTAACTTTTTTTCTTCGTATTTTTACTAAACCGAGTTGAATGAAGGATGGATGTGGATGAATTCTTTTTAGTGACAAATGTGAATCTTATTTGATAGGTTAACAACTATTCTTACGTCTGCAGGTTACACCAGAGATGAAGTTTTAGGACGTAATTGCAGGTTTTTAGGTGGGCCTGACACAGATGTTGAGGCCTTACAACAGGTATTTTTGACAGAAAAACAGCTTATCCATTTAGCAGCTCTGTATTTCTCGGTATTCTTTCTATCTCATGTAATATACTGATTCTAATTTGTAGATAAAAGATAGTATCTTGACAGAAAAAGCTTGCACCGTGCGTATTCTGAATTACAGGTGCATGAACGAGTCAAGTCTATTAGCTTTAAAAGTATTTTGGGACCTTAATTATGTATTTTTTTTAAAAATTCAGGAAAGATGGAACTTCGTTCCGCAATCTTCTACACATATCACCAGTTCGAAATTCATCTGGCAAGGTACCATCGTTGAACTTAAGATCTTAATATTTTTAATAACTTGGGTTTAACTTGAAAAATGTTCTGCTGTACAAGTACAGCTCTACATGTTATTACAAGAATGATCCTTCAACTGTATAATTTTTAAAAAGCTGAAACGTGTACCTCATATTTTTTCCCTAAAAAATGGATGCTTAAGGAGTTCACCAATTTTAAACTGTTGCAATTTCTAGGATTCTACGGGACAAAAAATTGTAAAGGGGATTCCCAACTAAAGGGAATGGTGGATCATCGCCCATCACACATGGAGATCCCTGTGAATGACATGGACGGCGATTTATCATTCGGTAGGGAATTTCCCTATAAAATTTTTATCCTATTCCACTGTTGCGCACATGAAGTAGTCGAGTTGAGAGTGAAGCATTATTTTAACTTTTCTTTGATCCATGAGCAGATTGCATTTTATGTTGGAGTTCAGATTGAGGAGGGATTGAAGAATGATGAGCATGGGCTGAGCCCATCGATCAGGCAGCTCGGTGCTGTCGGTGCAGTTAAAGTGGCTGTGAGGAGCTTGTCTTCAAGCGCAGGATCATCTTCCAGGTCCTTTTCATAGTATTCACTGTAGTTGTAAATTTGTGGCCTAGCAGCCAAATTGTACTTAATCTGTCTCTTTGGGGCAAAGAAGGAGACTGGGTGCACAAGCGCTCAATTCCAAAGCCTTCTTTGTTGTAATGTTTTATATTAACATATGAGGTTTATTTCAATGAAAATTGAAACCCGACAGTTATGAATAAGTTTTTCACACTTGTGGCAATTTCAAAAGATTGGTAGACCTAAAAAGATTTGGGCATATATAATGAAATATGATCTTAATCTATTAGAATTAAATGTAAATATGACCCTCAGTAGGACGCAATGGAGAAAAAAGATTCATGTAGCTGACCCCACTTAGTGGGATAAAGACTTGTTGTTGTTGTTGTTGCTGCTGCTGTTGTGTGACAATTTCAAAAGATTACTTGTAGCGCACTACCATTCTTTGGTTTCCATAGATCAGTTAAAAACTCTCACATGATTTTGTGCATTCCACATGAAATAACTGACCATCATGATAAACTTTTCTCTTTTGTTTCCCAAGATCAATCAATTTAATAAAATGTTTTCTCTCAATTAATCAAATGCAGCTGTGATGACATAGGGCACTGCAGCATGCAAGTCTATTTTTGTCATGTCATCCCAACATGAGACACAATTTGTTATCAAAATTAAGATTTATTAGCCTTGCGTTTAAGTTTGGTCATGATATTATGGGGGCTTATAAATGCAGAAGAAGAATAACCTAGATGCAAATTTAATAACGGGAACTTAATGAATTTTATTTCCATGAGGCACGAACACTTCCAAATGTTTTTCGTTTTCATGTGGGATATCGGAATGTTTCACACATGACCCAACATGAGTTTGCCGTGCAGGCAATCATGTTTGATCTTTTCTATTTTAAAAACGACAGGATATGGAAAAGGACACATTTTTGACATAGTGTGACACCCCACAATTTGGTACTCAAATTGAGACTTGTAAGAAATATGGGAGTTTTGTCCTTTTGTATCTCTGTGTTTTCATAGTCCTAACCAATGTGTCCCTCATCTTCAAAGTTGAAGTCCATCTCGCATCAAAGTTAAGATACAACGAAGAAGATGAGCTGGAGCCAAGATACAAAGATGAAGATGAGTCGAAGATGAAGACTCTCATCTCACCATCATGTTGAAGTGAAGATGAAGATGAAGCTGAAGAAAAAAAACTAGTGTATCTCCACTTTCGAACTTGAAGCCAAAAGCCATACACCATGCATATCAAGCGAAGCCAAAGGTAATAAAGCCTCCAGATTTTTTTCATTTTTTTGCTGTTGAACTTTTGGACCAAATTGAATTATATTGTTCATTTATTTTATGGGATAATTACATACAAAACCACCTGAAACACTGATATTCACAAATTAATCACTTAGGTGGTTTCTTGAACTACCGAACCATGTATTTACACATGCCACAATCGAACTATTTAGAATTTTATAAAAAAATGAAAAATATAAATTGGGGTTTTACCATGAATTTTGATATTTGAGAGAATTTAAAAAATGGATGAAAGAGAGTGATTGATTTATAAATAACAAGTTTTCAATGGTCTATATGTGAGTATGGTAACGGTTCTGTGCCCTCGTGCTTTTGCCAACATCTCCGCATCTACACCTTTGCTTCAAAGCCAAGGTGATACCATGTCTACCACTTCGATTACTTTTGGCAATTCTCATACTTTGCATGTGTTTTGTGGCTGCACTTCTAGGTTAACTTAATTAAGTATAAATTATTTTTAAGTGTGTGATTTTTTGTATATGTTATACTTCATTATGTAACTTTTTTAGCAGAGATGAGAAAAGGCTATATACTTCATATTTATATCTTATTATTACGTACAAAATGTGTCCATGGTGTATCTTTTCTTATTTTTTGCAATTATGTCGTGTAAGTATGTTAATGTTCTTGTTTCATAAACTTTTTTTGGGACATTTACATACATAGCACTCAATTCTTATGAATTTACGTATCTCACATCAAAATTGGGAATTAGTGCTATTTTATATGTGACATGATAGAATTGAGTGTAATGCATGTAAATATAAAAGTTTAGGTGGAAATTCATAAGAATTGCGTGCTTATGTAATATATATATAACTTTTCTCTCTTTGTTAACTTGAGATTGGCTTGATTTCCCTTTGGACGCGTTATCTTCTATATTGATCTCACAAAAACAACTGCAAAGGATGTGACTTCACGCAAATCAAAGCTTCAAAATGTCTGAATGACAATTAAAATTGCTCAAAAGTTGCTCCTTGTATATATATTTTTCAAGGTTGATGAGCTTTGACCATGAGATGTTTTGATGCGAGAGAAAATATTCAATCAACAAACCAGATTCTCATCCTCTTGTCAAATATTGTTGTATAACAATGTCGAATCATCTAGTGATAAAAAAAACAAAAAATTTTAAACCTTCTTGACCGCACACAGAACCTTATTTTGATTACCTCTATGTATGGCTGTAAACGAGCCGAGCTTGAGCGAGCTCAGGCTTGACTCATGTTCGACTCGTTTGAAATATCTCGTGAACAGTGTGTTCGTATTCGGCTCGAAATTGACTCGTTAAAATTAAATTGAAAAAAATAGATGTAAAGTGTGGGATTCGAACTTAGACCAAATATATACAAAATAAGGTATTAATCACATTATCACCTGATATGTTATGATTTAAACTTAGATATAAATATATATAATATATTATTATATAAATAATTATATATATATATATATATATATTTTTTATTTCGAGCTAAAATGAGCCGAACACGAGCGAACAAAGAATAGTTCGTATTCGGCTCGTTTATAATTAGAGCTTTAAAAACTTGTTCGTGTTCGACTTGTTTACTTAACGAACGAGTCGAACACGAACTACTTAACTAGCCGAACACGAGCTATTCGCGAACAACGAACTTTTTGACAGGCCTACCTATCATAGGAAGGTGGATATCTTGTTGTCCTTCTACGGCAAGAAAATATGTTTTTCGGACACGTCCAAACGTTCAACTATAGGCGGCCACGTCATTATACATATCAACGGCGGGCGATGTGGCCGCTAGTGATTGACCGTCCGGATGTACGGATATCCCCCCTTCTAAGCCTCCACCAAAATAGCTTTATGTCCTCCAAGCATTGGGATACAATAAGCAATTGTGTGGTCCAAATCGCACTAAATCCATACGAAGTAAAAAATATGGGCGCTTCCATAGACATTTTTTAATACACATTAAGGAGAATAATCTCTAGATGGTCATTAATTTATTAGTAACATATTATCTATGAAAATTCTTAACAAACTACTTTAGATGGCACACCACATGCCGTTTATAAACAAAAATTTATCAGGGGTTTGTCACCCGCAGCACGTGCTCAACACACCTCCCTTATTTTATGATAAATTAATGTTTTTTTTTAAGGGATGTAAGATATTAAATATTTAAATTATTCCATTTCACTAGATGCGTAGTAATATTCCCTTTCATAGATATATATATAATCAAATAATGTAATTTATATATACCTTTTGTAGCTAATAATTGAAATATTAATAGTAATGGGAAAACAACTAATATTAGAAGTATGAACTAAATATTACAACTTAGGGTCCGTTTGGGACAGTTCATAAGTTCGGGCGACGTTTTCAAATCGCCGTTACACCGTTTGGTTCGTGCGTTTCACCAGTTTATTCGAAACTGTGTTTGAGTTTTGACACTAAATACAGGTCGCGGGCCGCGTTTCAAAATAAGCAGCTTATCTTGAAAAACACAAGTTGCCCCAAACAGACCCTTACTTTGTGTATTTCATTATGTATAACAATATTAAGATAGCTCAACAAAGCTATTCAATTTATATTTAAAATACTTCTCGACATATCATGAGATAATTATAATTTCTCACGAATGCCTAATCATTTAAATTATATAGCCTAGTAAACATATTCTTTAAAAATTTATCCATCTAATAATAAATATGTTAGATATACACCATGGAAAAAAATTGTATCTTAAATTGTTTTTGTAAAATTTAATAGCATTGATTGCATAAAAATCAATATGATGAATGTTTTAAAAATAACTTTTAATTATAAGTATAAAATATAAATATATATTTTAATGATCATAGTATTGGTCAAATCACACCCAAAAGATCAGGAGCTTTAGAAGATGTTTTCTATGTTAATGATCATTAAATATGCTTCCAATTGATTTGATAACAATTTCTGATACCAGTTCTTAATGTTTAAGTTATGAAATTGATTTTCAAGAACTAATCATGATATTAGTATTGAAAATTAATCAAATTATGATATAATTGTAAGATAATCATTAATTTTATTGGTCATTGGTCATGATATGAATGAACACACTTACATGAATTAAATATATACACTTAAAATATTTTTGATATATTTTTCATGCAAAAAGTCATGATGTTACTATAATACTAATCTTAGTGCATGGGCAAATATGAAACTAAGGAAGACCTTGAGCCACCCATAACAAACTATGATCAACAGCCATATGATGGAATTTGAGCTTAGTTTTCTAAGCTAGTGATTACTTTAGTATGCCTCTAATTAGCTTGATGAAGAACTTTATATCATTTAAACTAGAAGCTAGTAAAGAATACTCATAGGGTCAAACAAGTTGCGTGGATAGGATTCCATGAGTTATGTATATTACTAAGTCCCAAAATGATTTTAAAATAAAAATATAAAACTTATTGAAGGTGCTTATAGGACCACATGACCAAATTTTATACACATTCATGTATATAAAGAATCTAAGGAAAAATACATCAATATTGCAAATAACAAATGCTAAATATTTTCATTTTTTTTTTCAAAATTATAATAGTATATTTTAAAGGAAAGTGAAATCTAAGAAAGATAAAATATGTTTTTTTTATGCGTAAACTATAAAATTAAGTCTCAGGGGCTGACTAGTGAGGCAGATGGGCATAACCCTTTTAAATGTTGGCCAATGAGACCAATGGGCCCGCAAAGTGATGGCTCTACCAAAAATCATTGGATTTTATTGGGTTAGCATTTACTTTCTCAGTTTAACATTGTCTAACAGAATTGGCCATCAATACAAACAAATTAATTTGCAAAATTAATAATAAAATGGTTCTTGAGTTATTTGATAATGAGACATTCTTTAACCGAAAATGGCTGCACAGAGGTGTAAAATTGGCTATCAATAAT